GTGTCCTTGTCGGGGCTGATGGTTTACAATATGGAATATAACAGACAAAAAGCGGAATTAAAAAAATCTGGGGCGAGCCCAGGTTTTTTAATTTTGGGCCGTGCGTTTAGCTGACGTAGCGGGGTGAATCAACGTTGAATTCTACTGGAGCTTTCGATGAGTATCTCGAAGGGAAAAGTCAGAAATTCTAGAGGCGAAGGATTGCAATCAGCGCTGCAACGCACTCAAGTTCTGACTATTGCATCATCACAATTTGTGCTGTACACTTCTCTGGTTTGATTATGATTCCCTACTCCACTGACATTAAAGAGAATAAAACCCTCGAGCATAAGCAGTTGTAATATCCACACGAGGAGAAACGTGTTGTGTTACTCTTTTGCTTGAGTTACTCTCTTAGCTCATCACGCTCAATCCTTGTGAACACAAGCTAAACGATTTTCATTCACATTGTGGGTAGAGAGAGATTACAAATAGATCTAATGACTGTTTCGTTTCTTTAGATAGCCTCCTGACTTTCTTTTGCCCTAAATGCTTTGAGGTTTTTGCCCAAATTAACTATGTGAACATTGCGTGACTTATGTAAGGGGTACATTGTAGATATTACTTTCAGAGAGAAAAACAAATTCTTTGGACCTTCAGAAGTTTGATGTGTAATTGAGGTTGATTGCCCGCGACGCGACCGTTATTGATGCTTTGATTTCAGTAGCTTATCTCCTGTAACCACTTAGCGAAAAAAGGCTTGAGTAGTCACACATTTCGTTGCTATCTTATCCAAGGGACGTACAAATATTTTCCTTCGAAGCTGTGGATTACCGGCGACCGCATTGATAAATTATAATGTCAACACGTTTCTAAAGATTACGGATTTGAAGAACTTGGCAGCAATTGAGTTATAGTTGAGTCATGTACTTTGCGATTTGTACGATGTTGAGATGTTTTCTGTTCAGCACTAAAGGCCCGATGTTAATTTGTCAAAATGTTTGGGGTGTTAATGAGATGGTAAGAGGAAAAATTCACACCGCACTTTCTACTGAAGCCGCCGATAGGCATCTTCAGACACAATATGCGGGATTTGATTTTTTGACATGTTATTTCCACTTCCGCTCGATCCTAGTGGACATTTCATGTTAAAATGAATGCCAAATTTCATATTTTTCTCAGAAATAATAAGTATACAGAAGTGCACTGGCCTTGATTCGACTGACTCACGCTTTCCTTCGAGCGGCTTTTTCAAACTGGCCTTTGAGGGGCTCGGGTGACGTTGACGCAAACAATGAACTCTGGACTTAGTGAGTCTTTCAGTTATGGATGATTTCACAAGACATGTCATTGGCCTTTTTTTTTATCTAACTGATGCGTTATGTTATCCGCTCCACAAGCTGTTCTAGATCGAGGTTCTACAAAGGAAAATGAATGCAAGCAAAACGATTTAACAAAAATTTATATCACCTTCAATGGTATTAAATTCCACATATGGAAGATTTCCATAAGGTCGTAGTAGTAACAAGTAGGATAAATATTGTAAGAAATATACAACTTTTTTTAGAGACATGTTTCGGCTTGCTTATGCCATCTTCATACTCATTGATTGAAGATGGCAAAAGCATGCCGAAACATGTCTCTAAAAAAAGTTGTATATTTCTTACAATATAGAAGATTATTTTCATATTGATCACGCGAGAAAGACCCGCGTCACTGTTTGAGTATCTATATCTCAAAGGAACGCGAAATCACGTGATTTCTTGGAAAGTCCATCGAAAGCGGAGCGTTGTACGACAAACATCATTACATGCTTGTGGATAATTTGTCGTGAATTCTACGAGGAAACTGGAGAAGGAGTAAACAACTTATTTGGCCATTAAAATATGGCACTTTCTTCAGGTATTCGACTTCTTAAAACTGGTCTTACGACTAAGTCGCTATTCGATCCTTTATTAAGATGGCGGCCTATCGCTCGCGCCAGGTACCAGCCAAAATATGCTGTTTTTTTTTAAAGCTTAGTTGGTCAAAAACTTCAGACACTGCTATTTGTGCATCTCGAAAGTTCGCCGAACCGTATTCATTGGCTCGTTTAGAAGAAGTATGCTATTGTATCATATTTTCTTAGAGAACAGCTCGAAATAACTCTGTTGGGTCTGCCTCGTGGCCTTTTAGTGACAGAATTATGACTTGAATCTTTGATTTTCTAAAATGCTGTCAACAGGTAATTGATTTATTTGGATGGATTATTGCACCTTTCTGCCGACTATGTTTTAAAACATCAACAATTTCGGAAAATGTGCTTGGCGCACAACAACACTTCGCTTTATTCAGACATGTGATTCATTTACAGAAATCACGTGATTTTGCATTCCTTTGTAATTAAGTCACCAAGTGAACAGAAATGGGAGGAAGAACGTGTACTTGAACTGGAACGAAGGCTAGAGACCTATGAATTCATTTTCTGCGAAATTAAAGAACTTGTCGTGAAGGACCTATTCTAGTTAAGCTGATAACGGGTGGCCTTTTAATATGTGCTTACTTCGCATAGTTTTCATGTGACAATTTATGTGTTGACAAAATCTTGTTTTTGATTGCACTTTGGCAACAGAGGAAGTCTAGGAGAGGTAAATTCCGCAATCACAACACTGAGACTCTTCGCTAAGCGTGGGCGAGAAAGGGAGGACGTCATGCAATATTGTCATGCGGACGAATTGTCCTTGAAACTAATAGATGCAAAGATCTTAGCTCCTAACTCGTGGGTAGTCCGAATTCTCGTTTTTCTAGACTTGTAAACCGAACCAATGCGTCGGAAAAGACTAGATTCTATGAAATAAATTCCCTGAACAACACTGATGACTAGGAAAATATCCGATTACGTAAGATCACCTTACGTAATCTTGAGCTAACCGCCTCCCGGTTAGCTCAATGGATTGAGCGCTGGACTGATGGGCGGGAGGTCGAGGGTTTGAGCCCCGGCCGGACCAACACTCAAGGTCTTAAAATAATTTAGAAGAATATGCTGCCTTTCTAGAACACCAAGAAATGGTTTAGACATTCTAGTCTTCTCGGATAGTGACGAATAAATGGAGGTCCCGTCTCCTGCAGGGTTAGGGGTAGGAGACGTTAATTTCCCACGCACGAGATTACTGTATGATGGATGTCCTCCCCTGGGGTGGGTTGG